GTTGTTTCATTACTGCATGATTTTAATACATTCACAATACAGAAACAGTACTTTGAATCTTATAAACAAACAAAAGTAACAAGTGACTATGTGAGGTGTATTTCCTTATCAGTTTTAGTATTTCTTTTTGTCTTTTAAGAATTCTGAAGCCATAAAAATTCATACTTTACTGTTGACAAAGTTGCCAAGCTTACATGAAGTTTCCTCTGAGAATAGCCTTGCATTTTTGTGAAAACAGATGTTTAAGAAAAGCATGGCTTGAGCAGAAGAACAAAGAAAAACCACTGAATTCTATGCACCAATAAAAAGAACAGCCTATTTCATAAGCTAAGATATAACCATCAGGGTAGCACAGAAATTACACCAAAACCTTATTTTTACCTGTCCTTTAATACCCTTGTCCTTCAGAGCCTTTATGTCATCATGAGTCAGTTTCTGAGACTTTCCATCGTCAACTATGTTACGATTATCTGTACCTGCTTCTTTGGTCTCTAAAGGAAAAGGATAAAGATTTGTAAAATCCAGCTCTAAATCACTTTTAAGTTGGAGAAACATAGGATTTTAGTTTCACAGAAAGCAGACTAGCAGGACTAGACCCACACACTTCATGACCTCTGCAAAGTGTAGTCTAAGCAAGCAATAAAATATAAGAGGCAAAATATACCTCAGTATACATATATAATCACTCAAACTAAGGTTCACATTTTCTCCCACAGTAGAAATCTTATTTGCTACAGGACTAGGGAAACAGCAGATCAAGACAAAACCATGCACTTTTATGACAGAAAGAATACAAGTAATGTTACGTTAACAAACGATTAACAGAAAGCTTTTCCATCATCACTGGTATGATCAAAGAAACAAACCGACTGGAACTCGTCGTTCCACACACCAGTCAGTCCTCTCTAATACCTGTGGTAGTGTCTTCCACCTCTTGCTTTGGCTGGAGGTTTCCACCACTGGTTACTTCGAAGGTAGTTCCATAAATATGTCCAATGGCATTATCCAGATAGAACCACTGCTTCTCAAAAATAATTTTTCTGAAATAGTTATTAAAGTTATGATATCAAAAGCATTGTTTTTACTATGTCTGAAACCCACAACAGTTTAAAACTTTAGCTTCATATATGCTGTTCTTATCTCTATCCTTGAAGACAACCAGGGCAAGCACAGAAAGTGAAATTACTCACAAAGCCACATCAAACTGAAACTGGTTAGGAAAAGAACAAAGAATTTAAACTGAGCATGCAGGAAGATTTTTTTTTCCAGTTTGAAAGAACTCTAAAATTGCAGATAAAACAAGGCTATAGCACTGGAAATATATAGTACCATTTTTGACAGAGAAAGCCAGAACAAGGCAAGGAATGAAATTAATCTAAAGGATATTAAACTTAGGCTGGGTCGTGCAGATTAGTGCAAAAAGATGAGCATGAACCTTTATATTGCAGAGCTACTTTGAAATAACATTTGCCAAAGGATTATGAAGAAAACAAACAGCAGTGTCCTGTAATCCTAGAAATGATGGATTCAAAAAAGGATTTCTTAATCTCCTTAATTCTGATCGCACTTTGCATTTTTCCTTCTTCACACAAAAAAAAGGTCCCACAGAACCCTTAACTTTCAGGCTGACCTACAAGGGTTTCCTTGCTGAACAGAGAAACACTGATCCTGCCAAATGAAACAGATACCAGGGTATATGCCACACTCCCCCTTGAATCAAAGCCTACCAAAACTAGCTCATGCTATGCTCTCACTCATTCTGAAGCTAAGCAAAAAGGTGGAGGTATTTTATTTCCAGCTTCTGGAACTGTTTTAGTTCCAGTTTTAGTTCCAGTTACTGACTGAAGTATGCAATTGATACATGTGTTCTACATATGGTATTATCTGTGTCCCCAAACACAATCCAGAATGTAAATAAAGTGTAAGAATAAAATTTTGTCAGAGACATTGCCAAATCTTTTTAATAAAAAATTAATGATGTTATACCTGCTCGCATGAAGTCTACTAACCCCTGCCAACCCGGATTTTAAAAGACTAATAAATTAATATAGAAGACTGGAAATGAACAAAAAGGATTTAAATAGATAAAAAATGGTGTGCACGTGCTCAAATTTCATTTTGGTGACCACTCTAAACAGAACATCCAACCACAGCTACTGTCACTTGTTCTTTGAGTGTCCTTACCCTCATAAGATTGCAGAAAAGGAAAAATTAAAAAAAAAGTTATTTAATGATCTATGGTGATAGAGTTTTAAACAAACCCTGAAGAAGGACCCGATAAACAGATCTTGGCAGTGTTCTGCAGATTAACAGAGTAACTACCCGATTTTGGTGCCAGATTCTACTGATGAACATCAACAGCCTGTCAGTAATGAGTACTCCAAATTCCTAGGCCTGAGCTATGCAATTTTTAAACCAGTCATTCAGGCACAGTACCTTTAAATCTCCTGATGCTACTGAATCAGATGTCTGGGCACATTACCCAATCCTGACTGCTACACATTGGTCTATAAAATTGTCTGCTGCAGTGGGAAGTGCCCAGGCTGCATCCACTGGCTCTAGCATTTCCTGCTGGGTGCAGGTGGTTCTTGCTATGCCAGCTGGCCTAGGAAAGAGAAAGAGGAGACCTTTCACAGCATTGACTGCCCAGAACGGGCAGCCAGCACCTCCCTACAGTCTAACAGCTAGGAGAACGCTGAGGCCAACCACTACTACGAAGACAGCGCTGCACCTCGCAGAACTGCCAGGCCACAGTGAAATGGGTATGATGAATCTCCAGCTTTTCGGCCTGCCGCACCTTTCCTCCTCGTCAACTGGCACCAGTTCTACAACGACGATGAAAAACCATCTTAAACAACTTCCAAATCGTTACAAGAAGCGCAGACAGGAGATCTGCGGGGTTTCTATCAACCCGGGACCTGAGGCAGCATTAAAATCTCCCATACCGCCTGTCACATCGGCCGGCGAGGCCACACCGGGAGCCCCCTCCCCACAGGTGGGGCCGCGCA